GGAGCCAGCACCATGAGCAGAAGTTTATCTTACAGCACAGCCTCGGCCCCAGATTTACTCCTTAATAGGAAACAAATCTAGCAAGAAAGTTCACATTTTAGGCCAAAGAGAAGAAACAGAATCCAGTTGTTTGTTTAGACAGATTTTTTTCATTCTGGGAAAAGCATATTCATCTGAGGCTGGTTAGCTATAGTAAAAAGATGTTCATTGGGTCAGATGCTAGGCCAGCAGTTAAGATGCCCACATCCTGTACCAGCAGTGCTGGGCTTGAGTCTAGAAGTCAACAGGTCGTGCGTGGCTCCAGTAGTTGGAAACCTGTATTCAGTTCCCACGGCTTGGCTTCAGCCCCTGCCTGGCCTGGGCCAGGCTGCTGGAGACAGTGGAGGAGTGGAGGAGTAAAAGAGGAGATGGGAGCCTCAGACTCCACCTAGGACCTTATCCATAGCTTGTACTTCTGAAGAAAAGCCCAGATGATTACGTGAATGGAAATTTTGTTGAGAGTGAAATTTTAAGAAGTTGTTTGCTTTTACACTTGTGTTTCGCCCACTCTTTGTTTCCACCTTAGAACACGATACAGTGTGAGTCACTTCTGAAAATTGTGAGGACTTTACACTGCTTCCCCTCTCAAACATGGCTGCTTCTGTCACCAAAGACCAGGTTCTTAAAAGAGCAAAGTAATTTAAGTAGCTGGTGGCAGACTTTGAAGTTGCTGCTGATTTCTGAGAACACTTGGGGTTCTCGTGTCAGGTCACACAACTGTAAACTTGTAGTCAAAATGTATAAATTTTCCTCTTACGAGTAAGAATGAATTCTCTATATTGTGCCTCTCCATCAGGTATTCTTGTGTACAGGTTACACCCAGTGTCTGGCACCTATTACAGTAGTGTTTTGTTAAAAGAGAACCTGTTCTTCAAGTTCAGTCTTATCTCTAGTATTTACATTTTTTATGAAGGAAAGCTATGCTAAGGTGACAGCCACAACTTGTGTTCCTTATTCTCAAGTTCAGGTGAGAACTTGTCCTCCAGGTCCTTTGCCCCCGGGAAACAGCTGGCTGTCCACTGCGTGCTGGCCTCACTGCTCTCTGCCCGCATTTCAGCCAGCTAAAGGGCAAATGGGGATAAAAAGGACGAGGGCACATCAAACAACCTCAGACAGGTAACGAGTGTGCTTCATTAAATGACCACACGGAGGGATTGCCAACCTCACCAGTCACATCAGCAGGCGAAAGTGCTCACTGGTGTCAGCTTTGGATTTATCAGAGTATCTAAAAAAAGCTGTTAGAGTATTCCACCTGCTCGGCCTTTTAGGTCAGCTTTAGTTTCCTAGAAAATAACAAAGTCTGCGTATGTAACATTTTTTTTAATTATTTTTATTGGGAAGGCAGAGAAAGAAAAATCTTTTCATCTACCAATTGACTCCTCAGATGTCAGCAAGAAGCCAGGAACCCAGAACTCCGTCAAGGTCTAACATTTGGGTAGTGAGGCCCCGGTTCTGGAGCTGTCCCCTGCCTCCTCGGAAGCAGGGGTGGGATGGGAACGGAGGGACTTGGCAGCAGCTGCCTTTTTTTTTTTTTTAAACAACAATATCCTTTGCTAGTTGAAACTTGTGTCCTTTTGGGCCTTCTTGTTTTCTCCTGCTGCTTAATTGGGTTCTCCCCTTGTTAGATCCCCGCCCACCAAAACCTTGACACTAGTTCAATTTAAGTTGGACTGCTAGGTAATTGTTCTCCTGAGGACCTGAAATTCAAAAGTGAACTTCGCCCTTCTGAACTTTTCTCCGTGTATCTATCTCTCACTCACTTTTTTTTTTTGATGAATGGTTTTGCCCTTCTAGTTTAACTCATAAAATCCCACAGTTCCAATGCTCTTATCTTAAAATGCTCAGTTCACCAGAAATGTGAAGATGAAACCAGAAAACCCTGTGACAAGTCAGATCCTTCATCAGACCCTGTTTGAATCGCACAGGATTGCCAACATCATGGACCCGCCGAAGCTCGTGACCCAGCTTGCTAGCTGCTCTCCCGTGTCGAAGGAGACTTGAGATCGTTTGCTTTGTGGCCCATATGATAGGTAAAATGCTTGGTGCCCCAAAATCTGTTCAAACGCCAAGTGTCTGAAAGTTTTTCTGTAACATGCACTAGCAACAAGTCAGACGAATATCAAATTGGTTGTGAAATGCTAACCTGTCAGTCGCTTACAGCTGACTTATACCTCCATGGCATAAATAAAAGCAAGAGGATTCTGCCCTCCCTCGCACCAGACACTCAGACTTTTTAAAAATACATGTGCCGCAAGCTTTGTCAACTCTCAAGTCTATCCGTGTTCTCTCAGCTACCTGTATGTCACTGTGCAGATTGTGTTCATTTATAATGTAATTTAAGATTAAGCTATGCGGATATGTAATCTCAATACAAGCCTTCAGCCACATTGCCTGGCTCCTCACTAATGGATTTCATGGAAGAAATAGAATTTTTGGCTTAAGAATCAAAGTGATTGTAGATTCCAAAAGTGAAGGCCTGGGGACAGTGGCGTACAAAGGCCTCTGCAGTCGGCAGCTTTGAGGCAGAGGGATGGGCCAAGAGTAAGCGAGGTGTTTACATCAGTGTCAGCACCGGTGAAGCGCGTTGAGAAGTGAGACTGGAAAACCGGTAGAGTGGGACCAGTTTCATCTCTTAGATTTTTGGCTTTTTGTGTTTTAATGAAACATGCCCTTTCTTTGCTCATCTGATTGAGGAAACTATTGAACTTTAAATTGACACCACTAAGTAATGTAACTAGGCCTGGAACCCCAAGTCTTTCTACTTGAGTTCCATGTTGGAAGTGAGAAATTCAGTGCTTAGTGTTGCTAGGCACATTTTCACTCCGGATTAGTTTCCCTGCCTGTAAGTTGTTAGCCTGTTTATATTTATAGCGTGGTGCTTGGCAATATTAGTGTTAGATAACATTTGACTTAGCTTTATTTTTGTTTTAAGGTTTTATTTTTATTTGAAAGGCAGAATTGCAGAGAGGGAGGGAGACAGATCTTAATGGGTTCACTCCCCGAATAGCTGCGATGGTTGAAGCTGAGCTGATCAGAAGCCGATAGCTTCAGGGTCTCCCGAGTGGGTGCAGGGGCCCAAGGAGTTGGGCCATGCACCACCGTTTTCTCAGGCCTTTTGCAGAGAGCTGCATTGGAGTTGAGCAGCTAGGACTGGAACTGGTACCCACATTGTATGCTAGCGTGTGACAGGTGGAGGATTAGCTGGCTATGCCAGAATCCCTGCTGGTCCCTTGTTTAGTACTTTCAAACTACAAAAAGTCTTGTCTCTTCAACCATCGTTTGGCCCACCTGATTGATGCTATTTAGCAAGATGCCTCGTCTGAATGACTCTTCCTGAGTCGCAAAGTTAAGCATTTTGCAAAACTGCAGTGAATTTGTATTGGATATTTGGTTTGTGTATTTTTTTTATTACTTTTTTACAAGTGGAATTTTGAGGGAGTTTTCATTTCATTTGAGGGCACAGATTTTTAATCCACTGGTTCACTTCACAAGTGCCCACAGGGACCGAACCAGGCTGAAAATGGGAGATGGGAACTCCAGCTCGGGCTCCTAGAATGACAGCAGGGGTCCAAGTACTTGGTCATCATCACTGCTCCCAGGAGGCTCTGAGCATGAACAGGAATCAGGAGTAACCCACTGACCCTCTCATTTTCTTACTAGTACTCAAATGGATCATGTTTTTCTCATATTTCTATAAACCCAGTCACTCAATGGTTACTTTAAGTAATTATTTTGTTCTCAGTACTTCCTCCGTCTTGTTCTGGGTAATCCTTAACACGGAGTAGGTTCCTCGCTTAGTCTCCGTCTTGCTAGCCCTATATTCTGCAGAGGTCCTTCTGGGGCCGTAGCTGTGTTCCCTGCATATTGATGTAGTGTAGGCACAACTGCAAATAAATGTGTCTCAAAGTGTTCATTATTATTCTCCCTGGAGGCAAATACAGGTTTTTATTTTTAATTGACAAACTTTGGTATAATAAAGGTGGCCCAGGCTTAGCATAATAGGGTTGAGGGAGAAATTGATACGTTCTCTAACTTTGCTCGTGTTATGCTGAAAACGAATCTTAAGAGGCTCTTGGGTAGTTGACCGTTTTCTTGATTCATAGCTTTAGGTCGAAAAAGACTTCTAAAGTTTAAACAAAAATAACATAGAGTAAAGGTCCCTGGGAAGTTGTATGCCCTTAGAATGATGGTGTTGAGACCTTCACAGTTGTTGATTTCTTTTCTTTGACAATCAGATGCCACTTGGAAATACTTAAGAGCCCAGTGGGATCTATGAAATTATGTTCAAAGATAAAGATTAAACTTATTAAAAGACTGTTTTCTTTGGGGGGAGGGGGTCAGGGTGGTAGTCTAGTAGCTAAAGTCCTCACCTTGCATGCACTGGGATCCCATATGGATGCCGGCTTGTGTCCCAACTGCCCCATTTCCCATCCAGCTCCCTGCTTGTGGCCTGGGAAAGGACAGCCCAAAGCCTTGGGACCCTGCACTCGTGTGGGAGACCTGGAAGAGGCTCCTGGCTTCGGTTCGGCTCAGCTCCAGCTGTTGCAGCCACTTGGGAAGTGAATCAGCAGACAGAAGATCTTCCTCTCTATCTCTTCTCTTCTCTGTATATCTGACTTTGCAATAAAAACAAATAGACCTTTTTTAAAAAATGATATTTTGCAATGGAAAGGCACCACCTGTAAATAATTAGAACTCTTTTCCTTTCCCTTTTTTTTTCCGGCAGTGGGGTGGGGTTGGAGAGGAAAATAATAGGGTCTGGACCCTCTTTAGGGGAATGGAAAGAATTTTGAAATCATGGGCTTTAGACTTAAATTAAGCTATGAATTTAAAAAAGTCTGATTATTCATTCCCATGGGACCCTCTTCTTCTCACTTAGTACAACTTATGATTTATTCATTCTGATTGTTACTACCCACTCAGAGAAACACTGAGAATAAGCAGTCTTTTCCAGGTGTGTCAGCAGCACCCAGTGACTGGATGCTTCTCGGCATGCAGGTTAGATTTATTCCCGAACCAGGATCCCTGTGCTTCATAACCACGGTCTTGTGACTCCCTAGAGTCTTCTTAATGATGTATAGAAAAAGTACTTAAAGTGGGAAAGGCTCGTATTACTGATGGGTCACTCCAACAATTCACACTGTGCAAAAGCAGCTTTACAAAGAGTTGTAGTTTGTGTGTACCGAGGAAACGGAATAGAAAGCAAACACACTGTGGTTCCTGCTTGTCAGAAACCTGAGGGAAGAACTCCAAGGGCGTGTGGCTGCTGCTTGCCTGTTTGCCGCGGTCACCCAGGGCTGAGTCCATTGCTGCGCTAACCATAACACAAGTTACATTCTTTTTTTTTTTTAAAGATTTATTTTTATTATTTTTTTATTGGAAAGGCGGATATACAGAGAGGAGAGACAGAGAGGAAGGTCTTCCGTCCGATGATTCACTCCCCAAGTGAGCGCAACGGGCCGATACTATGCCGATCCGAAGCCAGGAGCCTCTTCTGGGTCTCCCACGCGGGTGCAGGTTCCCAAAGCTTTGGGCCGTCCTCGACTGCTTTCCCAGGCCACAGGCAGGGAGCTGGAAGGGAAGCGGGGCTGCCGGGATTAGAACCGGCGCCCATATGGGATCCCGGGCGTGCAAGGCGAGGACCTTTAACCACTTGCGCCACCGCGTCGGGCCCCACAAGTTACATTCTTGTCGAGGGTTGGGCACTAAAAGTGACATCCAAGATTTCTGACATTAAGTTGATGTATCCTGTTTGTTAGTTACCAACAATTTTTTTTTTTAATTGGTAGTTACAGATACTACATAAAGAACTAGTGGGACTCTGATAATGCACTTCATTATAACAGTAGCGTTTAGTCACTCATTTCTAGTCATTTCCTCTGGGCTCTCTGCTTCAGTCTCGCCCAGCCTTGGTCGCTGTAGGCTTTTAGGGATTAAACTCGCTAAGGGAAGTCTGTTCTGTCCCTAATGCATAAAATGCTGTTACGAATTCCCAAATTCATTTATTCATCATACTCATCCGGGAGGTTGATTACACATTTCCTGGGCTCCTCACCCACCGTTCCCCAAAACAAGATTTGCTATCATTCCTGATTTTCTTGATGTTGCAATTCCCGAAGGTTCATGGCAAGCTGTGGTTCAAAAGTTATCTCCAGGTTCTAGCTGATGGGAACGAGAGGGTGTCCTTTTGGGCATCAGAGCCATGCATCCAGCATGGCTCAGGGCAGATTAAACCTGTTTGCTGCAGAGTGTCTGAAAAGTTTAAGCGGTGGTGAACTCCTCACTCAGTCTATGGTGTTAGGGTTAGCTCCAAGCACGTGTGGTCCTTTAGAGAATTTTAAAGCTTCAGCATTCATTTCCAAGCTCAGTCTCCTGCTCCATTTTGCAGCTTTAAGAAGTATCTTGGGGACTCTGTTGGATACTGCTTTGGGGGTACCTACATCCCATATTGGGGGGCCTTTGCTTCACTCTTGGTTCAAGTTTCCTAAGAGAGTACCTTGGGAGGCAGAAGTGGGTGGCTTGCAGGGTGGGGTCCCTGTAGTCATGCCAGAGGCCTGGCTTGCCTTCCCAGCTCCCGGTCTGTTCTGGCCCCGTCTTAGCTGTTGGGAATAACCTAGCACACAGGCGAGATCTTTCTGCTTTTCAAATAAATAGAAAACTGTAGAAATAAAATGTCTTGGAATGCTTGGCTTTTGTGATAATTCGAAGTGTATATTTCAGATTGCACATTCAAACAGAGTAAGATGGTGGTTTTATAGTTCTGGGATTATTTGGTGAATGTCATATTATACAACCACAGGTCTAGCAAAGTTGCCTAAAGATTATGTAATCCTGCTGCTTTGTCTTAGGAGCAGACACATAAATTGTAAAGTCCTGAAGCCGAGCATTTAGTAACCTGGCTGTGGAGCAAGCCCGTTGTATGTCAAATGTCTGTTTAGTTGTCTGCTTTCTTGCATAAACTTTGAGACCAGTCTTGATTCTTTCAAGGAGTCAAAACTGCAAAACCTTCCAGCAGCTTGACTGTTGAGTTTAGGAATATAATAAATCATTGATAACATGCTTTTTAAAAATTAAATTCTAAACAAGCCAAATAGCAGTAACCAAATGATATAAACAAATTCGTCCTAGCTATGTACCCTTGGAAGAGGATTCTTTTTAAATTTTTTGCTTGTTTGTATTTGGAAATTTTATCAGAACAGCAACATTTTTTTTCTAACAAGTATTCTGATGGGCTAAAGTTATATTTTCAAAGGTGTTTTGTTTTGTTTTGTTTTTTTATTTATCCATGGGCCCCAGCGCAGTAGCCTAGTTGCTAAAGTCCTCACCTTGCATGTGCCGGGGTCCCAAATGGGCACTGGTTCGTGTTCCAGCTCCCTGCTTGTGGCCTAGAAAAGCAGTCGAGGACAGCTCAAAGCCTTGGGACCCTGCACCTACCTGGGACACCCTGAAGAAGCTCCTGGCTCTTGGCTTTGAGTTGGCTCAGCTCTAGCCATTGTGACCACTTGGGGACTGAACCGGAGGATGGAAGATCTTTCTTTCTGTGTCTCCTCTCTGCAAATCTGCCTTTCCAGTAAAAACTAATAAATCTTTAAAAAGATTATTCGTGTATTTATTTGAAAAGCAGGGTGGCATACAGGGAAAGACAGATCCTGCCCTGTGCTGGTTCACTCCTGATTTGTCGTCTGTGGCTAGGGTTGGGCTGGGCATCAGCAGTGGAAACTGGGCCATCGTCTTCTGCCTTCCGTGGTGCATGGTGTGGGGGGGGGGGTGAATTGGAAGCAGCGGTGGGATTGAAGCCAACATGCCAATGTGGGATGAGTCACAAGGGGTTGTGTAATTTCACATTTTGGATGTTCACTGGGCAGCTTTACAAATGTAATTAGGCTCCTTCGTGAACTCCTTGGAGATGCGTGCTGGCCAGGGAGATGCTTCTTTCCATACCTGTAGCCTGAGAGAGGTCAACTTTTTGTTAAGATCAGATTGCTTGATCATCTCTTACATTGAAATCCCCAGCTTAGACTGGTAAATAAGCATTTGTCTGCTTTGTCAATTAGGTTATTTCAGAGTGTTTGTGCAAAATATGTTTATTTTGACACAAAAATTTTTTCATATTCTATAAATTCGCATGTACTTTTTGTAAGGTTATTTTTGCTTAAGATTTCTCTTTTATTTGAGAGGGGGGAGGAGGGGAGAGGAAGATCCGGCTTGATAAGCTGATTAACTCCCGGAATGACAGAGAAGCACTGAGCTGGGCTGACCCGAATGGGGCCAGGAGCTGCTGACGTCTCCCACAGAGGTGCAGGTTGGCCCCAAGGCTTCCCCAGGCAGTGAGCACAGAGCTGGATCAGAAGTGGAGCAGCTGGATGCCAGCGCCACGGGCGGAGACTTAGTTTGCTAATCCATGGCCCCACTAACCGCCCCCCAGTTTCTTTTTTATTTTGTCTTGAGATTTATTATTCAGAAGCTAAAAGGACCTACATTGTGGTATAGCTGGTGAGGCTGGCACCAAAGCATCCCATAAGGATACAGCTCTGTAACTCTGCCTTTCAAATAAATACATCTTCAGAGAGTTGGGGGCAGGGACAGAAATCTTGCACAGGGTTCACTCCCCCAGATGGCCACCACAGCTGAGGCTGGGCCAGGCGGTAGCCAGGAGCTTCTAGGTCTCCCACGAGGGTGGCAGAAGCCGCAGCACTTGGGCCATCTTCTGTTGCAAGGATAGCAGCCCCAAACATTAACAATGGAATTTTGCATCGAAGGGGAGAAATTCTTTTAAGAGGTCTGTATTTTAACTGCCTCTGCCAGATGAATTCATAACTGTAGAGATAAATGAAACGTAAACCTTAATCTTTCCAACAGGTCGCTGGGTTCATTATTCTGTCCGCTGAAGCAGTGAGGGGTAACCTTTGAGTGGCTGTAGTTAAATAGCAGTTAAGCATCCAGGGGGCGGAGTTAGGGTGTAAAAGAGAACAGGGCCTTCCTGTCTCGTGTTTGCCATTTGCCGATTTCTGTTGTCCCTAGAGACTCATCTGAAGTGTCACTATTCCTGGGACCGGAGTTTACACCAGTGCTAAATACTTGAACCAGACACCCCATTTTTCACTTTGAGAGCCGGTGTGGCTGTGTGTTATCACACGTGTGGTTCTCACTGCGCTCAGCACGAGCTTGGCAGACATTAGCAGAGGATGACGACTGGGGATCGTCCCGGCTGACTCCATCTCCCTTTGCCTGCGTTGGTTTGTCTGACACGGGGCCTCTCCGAGCAGCCATGGTTAGACCTCCACAGTTGCATTGCATCTGTAGGCAGCTGCTTTCTCCCTGGGAGCCCTGAGTACAGTCAGTTGGAGCTGGTTGTGTGCTCCGAAACATGAGTAGAAGGAGACATTGGGTGGGAAAGTGGCAAACAGCAATTATCTGGACTCGTGACTCACTCAATAAGTAGACTGTCCTAGTACACAAGAAGGTGGTTAAGGAATTTCATGCCTTTTTTCAAGTGGGTTTTTTTTTTTAATTCGAAGTTTTTTTAATTCTAAGGAATATTTCAGAACAGTAATTTCCATTCTGTTGGTACCGGAATTAGAATCACAAGTTTTTGGACTTATTTGAATTTTGTTTGTATACATAAAGCTAGAAAATTACTGATTTTTCTATGATTAGTACACATATGCTGCTTAAATAAACTTATGTCTTCTATGGTTGTTTTGTTTTTCAAGTTTATAACCATTAGGTTTCTCTTCCCCTGCGTATGTAGTGAGTACTTTAATATGTCTTCTTGCTGTACTAATTGGCCAAAGGGAAGCATTAGTGGTAATTTGAGATGCTAAAACTCACTGTAGTGAATTATTAGATATTCAGCCAGCGCTTTTTAATGAGTCGCTTAATCAGACATACAGACGCATGACGTTCAGCCTTGGTTAGTCTTTCCCAGTTAGAGCAGACTGCAGCAAGCACAGCCTGGGGCTTTATATAGTCCAGGAGTCAATAGGGATTATTAAAGGGGGAAGGGAGGTTAAGAATATGTAACTGGTAAAACTTAAAATATTTCCAAGTGTGACCTTAGATTCTGGACAAGAGGAATATTTGAAACTGAAGATTTAAAAAATAGATAATGCTTAGAACCATTAACTACTGTAGGGCTTTACCCCCGTGTCATAGGGACAGTTAGGAGGAAGTATAATTACAGGGTTATTACAGCAGCTAGAAAATAAACACGTTAACTTTAAATCAGTACCTTCTGGTGGGGAGGGTCTGTATAACCTCATTCTTGGCTGCTAGACAGTGCAGGGACTTGGTACAGTGGCAAAATAGCACACTGACCATGCTCTTAGTTTTGAAGAAAAACTAGAAACAGGTTAATAAGTAACTTGTGAGCAAAGGCCTCACTGTTCAAAGAGAATAAACTAATTGCATAAATGACATTAATAAATAGAGATTATTTGCCTCCTCACTGGGAAAGCTTAACCTTCAAAGATGGCAGTACGAAATTAAAAGTCTCAATGCAGTGGACTCTGTCTTTACTATGAATACTTATTACTTGGCAGACTACTAATAAAGCTAATTGGGCATAAAAATAATAGATTTTCTTTTAAGACGAAGAATTCTTCAATGACTATAAGCCTTTTATAAAGCAATTATCGAAGCTATATTGGACTTAGAATCCTACGTGCATGACATGGGTCGCTGCCCTCCTGGGGCAGCCTTTGAGGCCTCTGCCAAATTCTTCAACAGAGCTCTGATGAGTCACATTCACAGAGGCACACTCGACTTCATGAAGCACTTAATAATGTTTAAAGTAATGTTTGTAAATAGATTAAAAGCACACAAAATGAACCTTTCTTTTTCAGTGTTACAGTCGGTAATGTGGTCTACACTTCGTCTTGGCAGTGGAAGTTAGGATACAGACCTGACACGCAGGGGGATTCCTCCAAGCTTTCGGGAAAAGCAGAATATGGAAACAACACAACACATGCATTTTGCACCAAAATGCTGTCTTGAGGCCAAGACAGGTGGAGCTGTTCTCTGGTCCACTCTGCAGTGCTCACGCGGGCTAGGCCAGGATAACAGCGGGAGCTGGGAGCCCAGTGGCGGAGAAGTGTCAGCCTTGGGCACCTTCACACGTGACATTGAGAACCTCTTCTGGGAGCAGCTAGCTGGACTCGGCCAACTGATTTTACTAAGTGCTTTCCTAAGTGTGACTGCAGTACAGGGTCTTTGCTGAGGCTTGATTTGCTAACGGGCACTTTGCTGGTCAACATTAGCAAGGTAATAAAGAACTAATTGCACATTTGTCATCAGAAGTAGGTGAATTACTAAACTTGGGATATATTATTTCAAATCCAAAATACTTTAAATGAATAACAGCATTCGTGAAACAGGTTTTCTTTGAGAAAGGTTAGTTTCCATAAAGCGTATTTCATTTAGTTTAGTTTTTTTTTTTTTTTTTTAGAATACAGTAGCACTGTAGTAATGCCAAATCAGATTTGCATTTTTGCACAGACCACTTAGATGGCTCCAGCATTTCCACTAGTTTCCGTTAATTTGCTGGGTAACTTTGGACCATTGAAATGATTCTGCACACTTGATGTGGTTAACTCTAAGCCAGTGACTCTTAAAATGACAGGCCCTAGGTCAGCCTGCATCAGAATCACCGTAGTCTCGAAAGTGCACATTGCTTTTGCTTGTTGTAGATTTAGTTATTTCTCTAAAAGAGTTAGCTATCCATTGGTTCGGTCCCCACTTGGCTGTAATGGTGAGAGCTAACCAAACAGAAGCCAGGCGAGGAGAGGGGGTCGTTTCTTTGAGGTCCCCCACGTGGGTACTGATGCCCAAGGACCTGAGTCACCCTCCTTGGCTTTCCCAGGCCACAAGCAGGGAGCTGGATGGGAAGTGGAGCAGCTGGGCCGTGAACTGGCACATCACGGGCTGGATTATCCCCCTGTGTCCCAGCCCTGGCCACTAAAAGTGCAGATTCTTGAGAAAGCTACCAAGCTAAAGTCAAGTCGGTATTAACAAGGAAATGCCCCGTTTTAAAATAAGAAATATGTTCAGCTCTTGCAGAAGGTTTCACGAACAGTGTTTAGCAAGCCTTTCTGGGATGCAGACGCTACAGCATGGAAGGTAAACCCATTGTAGAGCGCCCAAATGTTCAGTTCAGTCCTGGGAAAGCAAAGAACGGTGCTGTTCCGAGATTGGATACTCCCTGTCTCCATTCCTGTTGAGCAGGAAAGCTACATAAGAAAGTTGGAAGGTAGTTGAATTATGCGAGGTCAGGATCTGGAAAATAGTGCTTCTAGGGGTTAATTAGGATGGAAACATTTGTCTTACCAAATGAAGGGATTAACGATCCTTTTTAAAATCTGGTTAGATACAGAGGAGTCAACATAAGTATACCATTACTCAAATGGACATTGTCGGACTTTTTAATTAGCATCCTGTGCAGTCATAACTGACGGGAAGTGAGGTTCAGAAAATCCCGACTGCTGTGTAGTGTGGATTTGAGGCAGCCGTTGGGATCTTTCTATTTCTGGTGGTTTCTTTCAAATTAGCCGCAGTAAAGAACCAACGTTTGATTGTCAACAGGAGATAGAAAATAAGGCCCATGATTTCCGGGACATGCATTCTTAGTGGTCAAGACGACAAACTTAATTTGCAAGAAATCCCTAGAAAAATAAACTTTTATTATGAATACTTCCCTAGCCCCCTAGTACGAAGGAATTCGCCATCAGTTTTGTGCCGTGGGGCCTCTGACAGCTCCGTAAAAGCCTGTGGATCCTTCTCAGACTTCTAAATGTGCATTACGTAATGCACAGTGAAAAATCTGTCTGCAGCTTCCCGGCTAAGGGTCCTTGCCTGGTGCTAAGATTCGGATGCTGCAGTTATTCTGCCTTCCAGCTAGAATGACCCCTCAATTAACCTTGGAGGAGCTACTCGACTTGAAGTGAATGAGGTGAAAAGCCAACTTGGGGTGGTTTTTCTTCCGTTAGAAATACTGGATCGGACTTCGGAGCTCTTTAAACCTGACGAGCAATAAAGAGGAGCGGTTGGGTGTCCCAGTTGACTTCGTGTAGGATTTGCCCTTTTACTGCGTTTGCTATATAATTGACATGTCATAATGGGCACACCTCGGGTGCCCCGCAAGGCCCTTCGCCCGTAGGAGGCTCCTCCTGGCTGGTGGCTGCTCGCAAGCAGTAGGATGGCCCCGGCAGCCACGCACAGCCGGCCTGACGGGAGGCTGCGCTGCAGCCGGCTCGAGCAAGCCCCGGCAGCCCGGCCGGGCGGTCAAGGGCGTCGCCGGAGCCGCTTCCTGCGTCACGAGGGGCGCCGCCCTCCGGCGCGGCAGGCCCGGAGCCGCGCAGCCGCAGTGGGCGGGAGCCCTCCGGAAGTCCTTGGGCCAGAGCGAGCCGTGACCCCTCGGCGTCCTCGGTCGGAGCGAGGCCGGCCGCGCCACGCCGCCCGCCCGACCCGCGGGCCGCTCGGGGGTGCCAGGACCGTGTGCTTCCGCCCGGCCCTTTCCGGGGACCCGCGGCCTGGGCTGTTCGGCTGTTCAGTTCACTCAACCCCCTTTGTCTGCATCATCTCCAAACAAAGCGGCCAGGCCGCTCTCCGGCTCGGCGGCGACGCCCTCGGTGGCCCCGAGCCCGCGCGGCCGCCATCTTCTGACAGCGCTGGCCGGCAGGCCATTGTCCTGCGCGCCGGGAGGACGGGACAGCCGGTGCGTGCGCGGCGCCCAGCGGAGGCAGGCGGAGAGTCGGGGGAGGAAGGGCGGCGAGGTCCCGCTGCTGCGGCTCGGTGGAAAAAGCTGACCTCGGAGTGACTTGATTAGTAATGGAACAAATGAGAGACTGCTTGTGAAGCTGCCGAGACAGTTCGAGGCAGAAAGCGGCTTGGGGCACGAGGGGAGGGGTTCTGGCCTTCCGTCTGTAGCCCAGGAGCAGGTGTCTGTTGGCTGAGCTTGCCACCTCCCGAGCGGCCTGTAGGACTGATTCCTGAGCTCTGTGTTTCCGGTCAGCGTGTGCGGGTTTGCGGGTTTGCTGGCCTTTCCCGAGCACACGAGGCTGTTTCCTGACAGCAAGCCCCAGGTGCCCGCTGCTCCCGCGCCCTCCAGCCCTGCTGGGCAAAGTCGCGCTGACGACGTCTGTGGCTGTACTTCCTGTGGCCGTTTGTAATATGGTAAAGAATGAAATGCACGAAAGTGATTCTTACTCTCAGTGCGCCCCACCCCACGCGCGCAAATGACAAAAATCCAGCCTTGTGACTGAATCGTAGCTGTTAGGCGTTGAGTGGGGCTGCAGACGGTCAGCCACCAAGCAGAGCGGTGAGGTGCCCTGATCCCCACGCCGTGGGCGAAGCTCCAAGTTCCTTGTAGTTTGGGGCGTTTCTCATCTTTGGAAGGTCGACAGAAAATTTTATAGGAAGTTTTAAAAATGCAGCTAATGTGCGATAACGAACTAGAAGAGTACTTAGCTTGGAGGCAACATCCGTTGGGAGAAAGGGTGAGGTGTATTTGCACATTTCTTCGTGAACTGAAAATTCACCTAGTGTAGACTTGAGATAGTATGCACTTTATGTTACATAACAAAATGTAAAAAAACACCAATGAGAATAATGGCCCGAGAGTTGGGCGTGACTCTCCGTGAAACAGCAGTACAAGGTCAGCCCATTGTCCTGAAAGCTGACGCAGGTGTCTGCGCATCAGCGCTGCCTCTCTTCGGACTTGAGATAATGGAGGGTGTTTTACAAGGCTTCTGCAGTAATGTGTGTGTAGTCATGGCCGACAATAAAACGTTCTGTAAATTCTGTTGTATAGAAGAGATGACAGTTAGCCGGCTTTCCTCAGTTTTCAGAGGAAGTTTTCAGCTTGAAAAACCAGAAAATAAAAAGTGTTGCTTAGACATCTGTTAGTAACTCTAAAATGTTGTTGCCTCTGAAACCTGGGATCGAGGCTAGGGGGTATTGCTCCTTTTTAATTTAAAATCTCAAAGAAAGATGGATTTTTTTTTTCACTTTGCTAAAATAAAATTTGAAAAATAAAATGAAATCTCCGTGCAATTTTTTGAAAGTTTATTTTCAGCCAATTTATCCTCTGTTCCCTCACCCCTCCCAGCAGGCTGGCCTCAGAGAAATTAAACATCTCAACTGAATGGTACTTTGAATAGCAATCAGTATCAGGTAGATACAAGCTATGAGTTGCCCAATAGAATGCACGAGGCCTTTTTCTAATTGAGGGGATAGAAATTCAGCTTCTGTATTATCATAAACTACATCATACTCTTTTTTGGGAGGCCCTTTTGGCATGAATCCCTTACTGATTATATATCTTGTAGCACTGTGGGAACTGCTTTATCAAAAGGTACCACTGTGTGTGTCTTTAGCGCCCTCTAGTGCGTTGGTCCTAAGTTACAAAAGCATAATTTACTCTTGCTACAAGAAATGTTGATTTCAGTGGGCCTTCCCTGTAGCGTCCTGGTCGCATTTCTTTTGCTTCTTTTCGTGGCATCCAAACACTTGGCTCTCGCGCCTGTGCGCGATGCCTTAGCCACAAGACACACTAGGCTGTGTGACCTTGTGTGTTCTTTGACCTCTCTGGGCTGCGATCCCCTAACCTGTGTACCAGGAATGAGACTGAAAGTGCCAGATGCTTCTCTGAGAACTGAGCTGATTTGTGTAACTCCCGCAATAGAAACAGCTGGGTTTGGTGTGTCGTTCCCCGCCCCCCCCATGTAAATAGATCTGATCAATCCTTGGCATGTTTGAACGCTCAAGTGTCAGTCTGCAATCTGAAGAATGCTTGAGAGTGACCCCTACCTCAAATGAAGCATGAGTGAGTGGAGATCCTGTAACAGCAAGTTCTCAACAAATGTTTGTTTTAATGGTCAAGCAAAAGGTTATACCGTAGAGAGCCCCTCCCACAGCCCAGCCATGACTCCTCAGCGGGTGTTCTGAGGAGACCCTCTGTAGTTGGGAGCTTAACACCACTACTTCCGCAGCCCCTGGGAGCCCACTTCCGGAGGCCAGTCAGGAGGCTTTGCTGGCTCTTGCGTGCGCACGTCCTCATGCCTGTTCTTCCTGCGTGCCTTGGATGGGACATGTCACAACGTTGTGTCCCTAAGTGGCAGAGCCAGACTTCCAGCCTGCGTCTACGCCTAGGGCCTGTGGCCTCAACACGGCATTAGAAGGGAGGCTTCGGAGTCACGCCCAGTTTCAGAAATGCGCGTGAGAATCTGGGCCCTCCCTCGGTGCGCACGAGGCCTTCAGTTCTGAGGCTGCTGCTTGCACAAGAAAGCCCAGCTTTCCAGCTTGCCCCCATGACTAGGCTCACATTCACTCGGTGCTTCACAGGTTGCAAAGCTTGGCCCACCCCTTCTCACTGTCTCTCTCTCTCTCTCTCTCTCTCTCTCTCACACACACACACACACACACACACACACACACAACTTGTGCATTCGCCATCCTCCTGAACCTCCAAGCTGAGAAAAGCAAGTGATTTGCTGGCAGAAGATGGCAGCTGTTCTTATTTACCCCGCAGGGGATAAACTGCAAATCCCAAAGCCTTACAGCTGGGAACACCAAGATCTGCCTGTGCAAGCATATAAACGAGATCCTGACAAAGGGGGAGGAGGGCTCACACGCCGCCCAGCCTGCTCGCCCTGCACTGGGCCCTGAGCTCTCGGCTGGAAGCTGTGTGGCTGAACCCAAGGGAGGCCAGACCGCATTCAGCAGCCCTTCAATCAACCAGGCCTCGCCACACATGGGCTCACTCAGGTCGGCCTGTCATGCGGTCTCCCCGCAAGGCTTTGCCTTCTCACACTCTCTCGCCCCCTTCCCCTCCCCCTCCCTTGCTCTCCCTAATTGCTTCCTCCTGGTCTACACCTCAGCCTCTTCGAGGGATCCCACGGGTGAAGCGCGGGTGAAGACTGTAAATCAGATCCACCACGCCTAGCAAGGAGGAGGAGAGGGAGGTCTCAACAAATGAGCCTTCTTTGGTCCCACTGTGACTTTGGTTGTGTTGTGGGTTTTTGTTTTTGAGATCTCATCTGGCTGGGACGGGTCATCAGAAGCTATAGGATTTCTGGTGCTTTTAGAAGAAGCCCGAAGAGGGTTGCCCCCCTTTTATAATCCTCCATAAACAGCCTCAGCAAAACAAGGGCGGGAGACGAGTTCTGTGGTCTCAGCAGCTCTACAGAATAGACTGTACATTTTAAACACTGCTTAAAAACGTAGCATCCACCACACGCCCGTCATCTTCCAAAAAAAAAAGGACAGAAGGGGTCTGCTTTCTTCTGGGAAAAGGCCTCCATCTTGTGAGTTCCCCATGAGTCTGTGCTGGAATGGAGGGAACCCAGGATCAGGGTTCCACCCAGGACTTCAGTTCCTTGTCCATGCGCATGTGGAAGCCTCCTAGTAATTAACTTTTTACTATGGGTGTGCCACAAGTTCTGGAAATGTATAACTGTTTACAGCACATGACAAAAACTCCTCATTGAAGATGCTGGTGGGGCTGGAATGCTGTCAATTTTTTTTTTTAACCTTCCTAGCCTCTGAACTAACTCTGTTTATTGAGGCCTAGAAACAAAACGAGCTTTGGCTTGACACTGAGTTAAGATTTAAATCCTGCTCCTGCTGTGGCTGCTGCAGCTACTGCTGGGTAACTTCTCCACATTCCACATCAAAAAAGGGGAAACATGAAGGTCTATCAGATCCACTGCCCAGGGAGGTCAGAAGCTGAGGGACTGTTCCAGCAAAGCCGTGCCTATATAGTGAGCATTCCGTTAGGGATTACTCGAATCAACGACTAGTCTGGGGGGTGGGTTGCCAAGTTCACGAACACACCAGAGCTGCTGATCACTAGGATAAGAGACCCTGCAGGCCAGCTCCTGTCTGAATAGGAACTTTTCTGACTGTAGGTTCTAAAGGCGGCGCGGCCAGATGCAGGAAGTTTGTACACCACACCAGAATTGTTGGTTAGAAAATCTAGCCAGCTGAGCCACCTCCGCCCAGAAAGGAAACAGACTTGATGTTCCTAGGAGCCATCCAAAAAGTTCCAAAGTCCTGTTAAGAAGTTGCCGCTTGCTGGAAGAGCTGCCAGCAAGCCACAGGAATGAGCCTGGAAGTGAATCCACCCCCCAGATGAGAAATGGACCCTAGTCGCCTGTTGCCAGACCCTGAGTTTCAGGTTAACTGCCCAGGATTCCTGGGTTCCTAACCCGGTCCCCACCACCCCCCAATTCCACCCCACCACCCTCCAGGGCAATGTGAGGTCGTAAACTTCTTTTGTTTGCTCTTGTTTAAAAACAAAACCTTGCTCCCTGCAGAGGTCTTAATGGATTCTGTGTGTTGACACAGGAACCCTTGTGTTTCTTCTCATTGGTTTGAAATTGTACTAAGAGGGCAGATTCGGCCCTAAGTCCTCTACGTTGCCCAAAAGACCAGATGGCAGCAAAGCTCTTGCACAAAACGCTTCGCAGCACACACACCCATTCTGCTTGAGGTCTGGACGAGGAGGGAGGGGGTGGCTAGAACCAAGGAGAAAGAGCTGGAAGCCAAGTGCACAAGCATAGCAGGCTTTTGTTGAAAATGCCGGAGGAAGTGCTACAGTTTCATTACCACCCATATTATATAATATGTTCCCAATGGAGCTAGGCCTGGTCCTTGTCATTACCACCCGAATAAGGAGTCACACTTACGGGGCTAGGTCCTTGTGTCCATAAACAAAAGCAAATAGGAGCATCCTCCTCACCACCCCCTCCCACCTCTGAGCACACCTCCCTTTGGGAGCCCTGTTCTGCTCCATGTTTTGATTAATGTTCCTTAGAATTGAAAGTTCCACAACTGAGAGCAGTTTCTGCCATTCCAAACACAATTAATGATTTAGAATGCCAAAATATAAAGCCTATTGAGTTCCTTAAGAAAAAGTTTTTTAAAAAAATCTACAAGGCTGTCCCCTTCATTCACCACTACCCTTTTTGTTTGTTTTGAGAGAGAATTCCCACTCCCTGGCCCATTTCATATATGCCCAGAACATTGGGGCTGGGCTGGAGCTGTAGCCAAGAGCTGGGGACCCAACCCTAGTTTCCCACACGGGTGACAGGAAACAGTTGAAGCATTGCTACTGTATCCCACAGTGCACCATCAGGGAGCTGGATCAGGAGTCGGAGCTGGACATCAAACCTAGGCACCCCAACATAAGGCACAAACCAAAAATCGCTACTCCCCATTCCATGTTTTGGATAAGCATAATATGTGTTTTTTCCTTGGCAGGGGAAAAAGTAGAAAATATAAGTCTTAAGTAAGAACTTAAGAATTAGAATGAACATGAGATTCCATCACCTAGTGCTAATGTTCTTAGGGCTTTGATAGCTTTAACTACAGACAAATAGAAATAGATGCTACTTAGCTTGTCCCGGTGGTTACTGATATATAATGATGATACTATACCACATATATTAGTCACCACCAGGACCTGTATCACCTAATTGTTGGGGTGAAAAGAGGACTGGTAGATTACAAATGACTTTTCCCCGTTCCCATTCCCCATGTTTAGATAGCTGTGAGAATCGGTTATGCCCTTCTGAACTGTAGCAC